GCGGATCCACGATAGGTCCTGTTGTGGAAAAAGGGCTTCCCTCCACCAGACCGGCGGCCAAAACAAATGCGCTTGAAGCTCTTCTACTCTGTGTCGAATTAGACAAGGCAGATCCGGTTATTGAGGAAATACTCCCTATCTTGTCGCACAAAGTACCCAAGGTGATTGCAGCGGCATTAAGCGGATTGAAAGCCATCTATCACAACTTCGGCTGCAAGATTGTTGATCCTAAACCAGTCCTGAAGGCCTTACCCAAAGTATTCGGCCACGCAGATAAAAATGTTCGTGCGGAAGCGCAGAATCTCACAGTCGAACTGTATCGATGGTTGAAAGAGGCTATCAAACCGCTGTTCTGGGGAGAGCTTAAACCTGTCCAGCAACAGGATCTCGAAAAGCTGTTCGAAAACGTCAAGCAAGAACCGGCGCCAAAGCAAGAGAGACTGACAAAGGCACAACAGGATGCGATGGCTGCAGCTAGTGCTGCTCCAGAAGTCGGTGATGGTGACGGGGAAGCTGGAGAGGTTTACGCAGATGAAGATGATGGCGAGGTAGATGCATTCGATCTCGCTGAGCCAGTCGACGTCTTCTCAAAAATACCAAAGGACTTTAATGAGCAGTTGGCATCATCGAAGTGGAAAGACAGGAAGGAGGCGCTGGACGCTCTGTATACTGCACTAAACGTTCCGCGAATCAAGGACGGGCCGTTTGACGATATTGTTCGAGGTCTTGCAAAATCGATGAAAGACGCAAACGTCGCAGTCGTGACGGTCGCCGCCAACTGTATCGATCTCCTCGCAAAGGGTCTGCGGGGTGGCTTCGCGAAACACCGATCCACAATCATGCCGCCTATCATGGAACGATTGAAAGAGAAAAAGCAGACTGTCGCAGATGCACTGGGACAGGCTTTGGATGCGGTCTTTGCATCAACAAATCTATCGGATTGTCTAGAGGAAATTCTAGAATTTCTCAAACACAAGAACCCACAGGTGAAGCAGGAAACCCTGAAATTCCTGATTCGCTGCCTCCGAACTACAAGAGATGTTCCGTCGAAAGCTGAAGTGAAATCCATTGCCGATGCCGCCACGAAATTGCTGACTGAGTCTACTGAAGTCAACCGTGCAGGAGGAGCTGAAATTTTGGGTACCTTGATGAAGATCATGGGCGAGCGTGCGATGACCCCTTACCTGGACGGACTCGATGATATCAGGAAGACGAAGATCAAGGAATTTTATGAAACCGCCGAGGTAAAAGCGAAAGACAGACCGAAGCCCATCGTTGGGCCGCCAAAGGCCGTGCCGGCCGCCGGCAAGAGGGTTGTTGGAGCAAAAAAGCCAGCTCTGGGAATGAAGAAGCCTGCTCCAGCTGCTGCGGCGCCTCCACCAGAGGAGCCTGCACCGACCCTTTCTCCTCCAAAACCCACTACAAGGTCTATCCCGTCGAAGTTGGGTGGGGTTCCCAAGCCTGGTGGACTTCCCACTCCAGGCGCTGGACTCAAGCTTCAAAGAAAGCTTGGTGGTCCTGGCGGCCTTGCATCCCCACAGCGTCGGGTCATCTCGCCCCCTTCGGAAGAACAGCCTCCAGCGCCAGCTGCACCGAAATTTGGTCTTGGGAGAGGGCTTGCAGGCCGTCCCATAACCAAACCATCAGCTGCGCCTGAACCAGCTCCAGCTCCAGCTGCGCCACCCCAAGTGAGCGGGATTTCTACCATCGAAAGGGCTGAACTCGATGAATTGCGTCTTGAAAGAGAAAGGTTCCTTCGAATGATTGAGGACTTGAAGTCTGAAAGAACTCGACTCAACTCGCAAGTGACGGAGCTCCAAGATCAAAATGCACAACTCATTGAGGATCATACAAGGGATGTTCTAAGTATCAAAGCCAAGGAAACGCAGTTAGTTCGAGCCAGGAGTGATGCAGAGGCGGCTGAGCAGACGGTTCAGAAGCAGCAGAGGGAAATTGATCGTTTAAAGCGCGAATTGGCCAGAGCTCTCCGGGCCGGTGCTCAGAGTCCTCCAAACGGCTTTTCGGATAATATGAATCTGCCAGTACCGGAGACGTCGATATACCATGAAACGGGTATCAACGGCTATGGTGCCATTCCCAGAACCGGCCTCCACAGGGGAAGTCGCTTTGATGGTGGGCGACCTCGGAGCTACGTGTCTGCCAGTCCAAGTGAGGAGAAAGAGAACACCGATCTAGAATCACCAGGACGCGGTAGCAGAGATGGAGGCCTTGGTCGACGGAAACTCAGCCCTTCCTTCGGAACCAACTACTCCGGGATGGGCAGTCCAACAAGGTCGTCCATACCAGGCTCTGGTAGTGCTTCTGGAGAGGAGCAACCGGTGAGGAGCTCAGAACCCGCGGAGAATTGGAAGAGAGCCGCGGAAGTCACCAGCCAACTCAAGGCAAGAATTGAACAAATGAAGGTACGTCTTTAATCAGCTCTGTTCATTTCTGAAACTATCTCTGATCGATATTGCTAGGCAAGACAAGGTCTGTCGCGAGCCCCTGCGCAACGCTAACGGATCCATGAATTATTTTTCGGTTCTATAACCCATGACATGATTTTTCTTCTTTCTTATGACAGCAGGCTTCTTGACCTTGGTACTGGCCAATACCCGGCGTTCTTGTTTCTCATTTCCAATTTCGAGGTTTCTCCCCTTGCACTTCTTTCAGCCGCTTGTTCGGGACCAGCTGTGGTGCTAGGGAAACAGTCTTTTGATTGCATTTGTCGGGGTCTGCTTCTTCTATTGTCATGCCTTTGATGTATAAATTTGCAGCATGCTTGCGCGCGGATTGTATTTTATGGATACGGTCGTTGGACATTAGGTATACATGGAAAATTAATGGGCACATGAAGGAGGGTATGAATCCAGAAGTCTAGGGTCTTTATTTCGTCAATTGACTCGAAGGGGAGAATGTTGTACATACAGCATTGGAATAAAGTCTACCCCACTACAAATAAGGTACAGGCTAGTAACACCAGGTAGCTTAAGCCTTGTTCTACTTTGCAGACAGATATCACATGCATGAATGCTCAACCTCAATTATGCTCTACGCATGATGTGCTAATTGATGTCTGAAAATGCATTCATGGGTATCTGCGAGGTGTACATATAAAAAAAGAGAACAAGGTGGGCCATCAATGTGGATTGGAATTGAGAGGGTGCCGGAGTGCTCCCAACCATCTAAGCTAAAATGCCGTCAACAAGTCAATATGAGCCTCAGAACACCATTCCCATTTCCCAAAGTGTTTCAACTTTTGATTACATCCATCCCCTGTGGAGAGAATAAAAAGGAAAAGGACTGCGAAGTCATAATGTCGTCCGGAAAACCCGTCAATCAAACTGATCAGGCTTTAAACTCTGACGGCAGCCTCAGCAGCCTTGCGCTTCTTCTCCATGCGGGCAACGGCCTTGGAGCCCATGATACCACCACCCCAGTGGCGGCGGGACTCCTCGTACTTGTCGGTGTAGCCCTCCTTGATGGTGGAGAGGAGCTTGGAGAACTCAGCCTTGTCCTCGGAGCGAACCTCGGTGAGAGCAAGGACAGCGGCGGTCTGAAAGTGTGATGTTAGGGCACGCTGCAATATGAAAATCATGGGGTGAGTTCATCTTACCTTCTTGTGGACAACGGTACCGAGACGAGCCTTGCCCTTGACAATGGCATAGGGGACACCCATCTTGCGGCAGAGAGCGGGAAGGAAGACAACCAGCTCAATGGGGTCGACGTCGTGGGCAATCAGAACAAGGGAAGCCTTCTTGTTCTCGACGAGGCCGACAACGTGGTTGAGACCGTACTTGACGTTGTAGGGCTTCTTGGAGACATCCTCCTTCTTCTTGCCCTCGGCAACAGCGGTAGCCTCGGCGTGGAGACGCTCCTTCTTCTCGGCCTTGGTCTCAGGGCGGTACTTGTTGAGGAGCTTGAAGGTCTGGGCAGCGGTGTTGCGGTCCAGAGTGCTCTGGAACTGAGCAATAGCGGGGGGCACCTTCAGGCGGAGGTTCAGGATCTTCTTCTGGCGCTGAAGACGGACATACTCGGGCCACTTGACGAAGCGGGAGAGGTTGCGCTTGGGCTGGACGTCCTGGCCAATACCGAAGTTGCGGGGGCGGCGCTCGATGAGAGGGTTCTAATTGAAATTGTCAGCACGAGCAATTCTTTCCAGAAGTCTGGGAAATGACTGCATACCTTAGCACCCTTCTTGGTAGCGCCAGCCTTGCCCTGGGGGTAGGGGAGAGGGGCGGCCTTCTTTCCGGACTTAGGAGGCTGTCATTGAGAAAAGAAGAATCAGCGAGTTGTCCACCAATTGCTGTATCTTCTTTAAACTCTAGAGAGAACACAAGAAAGAGTCCAAAGACAACTTCTGTGACTCCAGCCAAATCATCGCTGGTGCACGCATCCCAAGAGAGAATTGTGCGACCAACGGAATATGCCTCGACCCTCGCGAAATGAGGTAGACAATTTCTCGTCTCACGACATGTCGCAGAATGATCGACAGCTCTACTAGGAGAGATTCGAATTGGATATCAAGGGCTTACCATTTTGTCGACTGAGTTCCGCAACGGTGCTGGGTGACGGGATTGACAGACAAGGGAAGAGAAAGAAAAGTTGAAGCTCGTTTTTGATCATCGAGAAGAAAAGCTGCTGTTGCGTTTGTGGGTCGCGCTAGTGCGGAAAAACCGCGGGCCGGGCTCTGTTGCTGGATTTTGGTCACATGCTCTAGGGTTAACCCTTTCGGGTTTTCCAAGCTCGACTGCTGCCTGAATTCATGCCTGCACCCTAAGGCAATAACTATTGATTAACCTAATAAAGTGTGAACGAGTCCTTCTGGGTATAGAATCGATATTGTTCCCAATTATCTATGTTTAGGGACACTCAAAGCCATCTCATAGCCATCATATATACACAATGCAAATTTCAAGCAAGACGCCGTATCCGTAGATGCAATCAATTTACCTGACGCCCTGTAGCACTCGAGCAAACAAATATGGGAATCATGATATTCAACGCCAAGCACCAAGCCCTGAGAGCCCTCCTCGCCCAAGGCCGGAGCTGGCTGCTTGTATAGCCTTCTTTTTACCTAGATTGCCTTCCTGTTCCCGCACGCCTGCAACAATCTTGTCGATATTGGTTTCGACGACGACACCACCGACAATCATCTCACTGAGAACCGCGTGCATTGTCTCGAACCCGAAGATAAGATCCAGCTCGCAAACGTTCTCAAATATCCGATCCAGGGCTTCGACGAAAACTTGTATTAGATCGATGAGCGCAAGCGGTGACTCTGTGGATGTAGATATCATGATGAAGGACAAGGTGGCATAGGTGCGGTAGGTGACTTGCGTAGGAGCATCGGAAGGACCATTTGCTGCGCTTGAACGCGCGCCTTGCGAAAGCAATGGAGGCAGTGGTAGGAAGTTGCAGGCGCTCGGCGGACGCTGTGCCACCAGGTCGTAGATCTGGGCAATCAGTGACTGTTTTGTTTGCGTATCCTAACCGCGATGCAGAGGCTTATATCAGTGAGGTTCATTTTCAATCGAGTTCACCAAGAACCGCGACGCCCAGGGCACTCACGATTTGTGTATAGAATTTAGTGAGGCGAGGTTGCCCGTTGTTGTTGAAGACGAGGACGGCGTTGATCATGCTGGGCGCAATACGAAGGTTATCGTCTGCCTTCTCGGGGGACTAGAAACCAGAGCACTTTAAATGACAACTATTATATGCGCACAATAGTCAAATATCTTCAGATAGGTGATCCGAACAGAATTGACGTAGAGTTGGGTCTCTGGAACCCCGGAGCTTGCTTATCGCACTGATGCAGCGGGGCCCAGATCGGCGGACTCCCCTTGGATCCCGCTCGGATCACTTTCTCATTCGACGGCATCATGTTTGAGCTCAGATACTTTTCTGCAAGCTGAACCTCACCTTACAGTCCCTTACAGTCAAAAATTCATACTTCATAATGAAGAGCAAGCTCTATGTCTGTGCAGTGTGTATGCGCAGAAATCTCTCAACCGCCCTCCCTCGCCGAAATTCACCAACAGCTGTCGCGCCATCCAATTTTCCAAATGCGCCCAAACTCCAGCTTCGCGATCTGACTCCGTCCGACCTCTCTTACTACTGGGATACACGAATACCGAATGAATCTCAACTTTCCTATGCAGATAAGTTCTTCACTCCGTCGCGTCATTCTCCAGTCAAATTATGGTCCGCCAGCAAATTTCGCACAACACCCCTCTCGTCGCTCGAACCCGAAGTGGCTTTCCTTGGCCGTTCGAACGTCGGAAAAAGCTCGTTACTCAATGCCATAATGGGGAAGGAGATGTGCTGGACTTCATCTAAGCCTGGAAGAACCCGGGAGATGAACGCATTCGGGATTGGAGGGACCAAAGGCGGCGAATCCAAAATTGTCCTTTTGGACATGCCAGGGTATGGAAAGGGAAGCAGGGCGGAATGGGGTATTGAGATTTTGAAGTACCTTCAGGGACGGCGCCAGTGAGTCGCTTTTGTGCATTGATTATGGGCAACTGATACTGACCTTAGTCGCGACATGTAGGCTTCGTCGGGCCTTTATCTTAATCGACAGCCTTCACGGGATCAAAAAGAAAGACGAGGACATTCTCATGCTATTTCGAAAGTACGCCATCCCCCACCAAATTATCCTATCGAAAGTCGACAAGGTATTAGCAAAGAGAAAAAAGCAGGTTAAGAGCGGCGCATCCGTGGCCAATGTCGCCGCGCTAAGGAACCTGCTTCAAGATCTCAGGCCAATAGTTCAACCGGACGGTCGTGTCGAAGGCCCTGGCGCTTTGGGTGAAATTCTCACATGCAGTGCAGAAACACCTACAGGACCGGGGCAATTCCTAGGCATCAGTGCCATACGATGGGCCATCTTATCTGCTGCTGGGTTCGATGGCAATGTAGAAGTGAAAGCTGAGTCCATCCCGTCCAGCACGTCGGTCCGAGGCGCTTCGGTAGCTCCACCTTGATTGATTGGGAAGTCGTGTGCTCGTTCGGATCTCAGACCGTCCTTGAGAATATAAGGAATCTCAATCGCTCCCATACCGCATACTCTATAGACGGCTCAAGCCATCACGCATCTGCCAGTGTGCAATTCAGAACTCTAGGACTCATTTCTGCGAGGCCCATTCCTTGCCTAACATCCAGTCAATTAAATTACATCTTGCGAATTGCCTCGCGCAGGATCTTCTCCCAGCTCCTGGGTATGCCAGACAATGGAGATGTCGACAGCTGATGGGCTGGTCCCCAGAATACAACGGGTATCATCCTGCCCTCAGACTCAGCAAAGTCGTTGTACTACTGATCAAGTCTAATTGTTTGCCAATATTCCCATGGTGCGCTCAACCTTGTTTCAGTACACGCATCTGACTCGTTCTCTATGGGCGATCCATTCGGTGATGGTGTACCCAAGTTCGTCGTTTTTTAAGGCTACCCCTTTCAGCAAAAAAGCCCTACCATATGAGATAGTACAACTGTCCCATATGGATATAAACGCAAGAATTCAATTCACTTTGCCAAGGTCGTGGAAAAGAGGTCATAGAAAGTCTATGAACAAAATTCTCGCCTGCTGAAACACGAAGGGAAGCAGGTGAGAACAAGCAAGCACCGTGTGCGGCGAAACGGATCTGCTCAACTCACACAACATCAATTAATCATAATGCATATATGAATGACATTTGCACATGGAATAAGAAATATGAATGAAATATAATAGAAGAGAGTAAATGAAGCGAGCCGGGGCTAGTAAATCATTGTTTTCGAAATCCAAACGCCATTTCCGTCATATCCCAACATGACAATGGATGCTGACCACGCTATGCAAAGCCTCTCGATAAACAACAAGTCCGTGGATAAAGGGTATCTAAACATTTCATGGCTTGAAAGGCAGAGAGGAAGAGGAAGTAGAGCAGGAAAAAGAATAAAAGTGGCAAACGTTGGCTGATCTGGTGACCGAAGTGCTTCGAGCCATGCCAGCTGGCGAAGCACTGACGAGCCCAGTAGTCTGAACCAACTGTGTCAACCGTCAGAGAGATCGTAATCTTCGTCGGCATTGTCACCGATCTCCTGTCCCCATCGGTTGACAACTATCCGTCTCCCCAACTGATCCTCCGGGACACCGTCGCGAGAAGCACCAAAATCGAGGACCTGAAGATGGTTAACAATGATGTTGAGCAAATTGAGACACTTTTTCCTCGACTTACCTCAATATACGTCAGAGCATCGCGCTGTACTGCGGCAACACATCTTCGATCATTGAATTTGACCTGCCATACACCGCTTAGGTCCGTGAGAAGGTCTCGAACGCACTCCCCATTCCGCACATCCCACATCTTTAACGTCCGATCAGATCCCGAGATCACCTTCTGGCCATCATGCTGAAAGCAGGTGATGGCACCAGTATGCGCGCTCAGCCTGCTCTTGCATTGACCAGTTTCAGGGTCCCAGATCCTCAAGGTAGAGTCTGCAGCCGCGGAGACCAAACGGTCGCACTTCAAATCAAGAAGACCCACAAGTGAACTATGACCTTCTAGATTGTAAATGATCGAGCCAGTATCCAGAGACCACACTTTGACTGTGTTGTCCATTGAACCGCTGATACATCTATTCCTTTTGTGGTCGAGTACAACGCTGTACACTTTGAGTGTATGGCCCTGAAGTCGGTGAACAGTCTCTCCACTCGATATTTTCCACACTCTCACGGTACAATCGTAACTCCCGCTAACCAAAGTGTCACCGTGCGCAGCGATCGCACGAACAGAGTGCTGATGACCAGTGAGGACACGGATGAAATAAGGGCAATCGGTATCATCAGCATGGGGTCCACTCTGGTAGTACACCGGATCACCTGGTTTCGGGAGTCTCCAAACTCGCAAACTAGAGTCGCGGGAACCGGTTATGATGATTGGTTCTTTAGGCATCATTTCGGGTGTGCCGTCAGCATTGCTACCAACTTGGACTGGTAGAACAATTTGCAGACAACGCACTGTCGAGGTATGTCCATGGAAAATTTGCGTGCATCTTGCCCTTTCGATATCCCAAACTCTCACCGACCTGTCCGTGGAACCGGACACAAGAGTGTTGCCGTGATATTCCAGGGCCCAAACCCCTCCCTCATGGCCTTCCAGTGTCGCTCTCAAGGCGCCCGTCTTTGTATCGTAGACGTTAATGTTCGTGTCGTCACTTCCTGTCAGAACCTTGTCGGTGTCAAACTGGAGGCAAGTAACTACGTGGCGATCATGAGCGCGAAAGGCAATGTGTTTCGGTTTCACACTAGGTTTCATCCAGCCTTTATGAATCGAATGATGGCGCTGGTAGAGGGACTTGAACAGATGCAGACCCCTGAGGGACGGTAGGCCAATTTCTGGGTATGGGACAGCTGCTGCAGCTGCATTCGCGGCTGCATATGGTCCCTCAGTTGCAGTTACTCCATTTCTCCAACCTGAGGAGTCCGACGAATCGGTATTACTAGAGGAAATCTTTCTCTTCGCATACTTGCGACCCGAGATGCGAGTGGCCTTCCTTTTCGGTCGACGACTTACAGACAGAGCCCGTTCACCGGATTCTCCTGGCAAGGAAGAGAAAGCGGACCCAGACGCGCAATCTGGTTCAGGTTTTATGACTGAAGACGAGCTCAGATCTTTTTCCCAGTCGTCATCCCCATGCGGATACTGCCATCCCCAGCCTTCTTTGATTGCACGTTCCAACTCACCATCTGTGAGAACGTATCCATCCCTGTCAAACAGATCTTTCCAAGTCTTCTCATCCGAATTGATGATATGCCTCCATTTCTTGGACACTTGTGCTGCACGACACATGGTTTGAACGTCGAAATACTTGACAATGTTGAGGCTAAGCTCCAGAGGAAGAAGCGCGAGAAAATCGCACTTCAAAGCTGGATTTACGACGTCGGCCACAAAATGCAGTGTTGGCTTGGGGCACCTCCTCAGAAACTGATACATCAGGTAGGTTTTCAGTTCTTCGGGAACCGAGTCAAAAAAGTCCAATACACTGGGTATGTCCATCAAAGACGGAGTATGACGGCTTTCCGTAGCACCCGACAGGTTTCCAGACCTGGAAGGAGACAAATCATGGTTCTTCGAATCGTCCAAGTGCCGTAGGTTTGAAGGGCGGGAGGCAATATTATCGAGGCTTGAATCCGTATCCATCTCTTGATCTTCTGCCGACTCAAATGAGGAATCCACATTCATCGCATTCAGGGCAGCCACAGGCGACAAGCTGGGGCTGGGTAAGCTCATGTCGTGGGCAACAAGATTTTCAATAGCTGAAATCTGGGACGCAGGTTCCGTTGGTGCCTGCTGAAACGACTCTTCCGACCCATCGAAGTCAGTGCCTTGGCTTGCAGTGTTCACACCCGCAGCTCCATCACTATTTCCCGCCGGAGTAGCAAGTTGGGTTGACGGCCTCGAGGACGCGCTGTCCCTATGTCGACCAAGATGTCGATCTCTCTCCCAAATAACTGCCTTAGCGCGGATTGGTTCTTTTCCTAGGACCGATTCTGCATCGGGATCCTGCAATACTTCCTGGCTTTCAACTTCTGAAGACAGAGGCGAGCGCAATAAGGTCTCTCTGCGGGGTATGGCCGCACTATGTACTCTTCTTCG